TAAGTTCCAGCACGTAATTACACCTGGTGCTTGAAGTATCCCTCCTTTGAAATATATCTGAATGTTTACAACACACGAGAATAAATAACTTCAATATCCCGTACATGTGGTACAGAAAATAAGTGCTTCCCACCATTCTTTCACTTTTAATAAGCTTATTGGAAAAATTTCACTAACAACGAATCTGAGCCTAACATCCGAGACCTTTCGCCAGATTTGTTTGTCTTTACATTGATTTAAAGGAACGTAGGACACTAACCAATGTTCGTTAGGCTTTGATTAACTCATTCACCCCTGAAGTTTCATAATGAACTATTCCAATCTTTGAATTGGTAGGGTTCAAATGTGTCCTCAGGGGTGAATGAGTTAAAGGTGTAAGTCTCTTGTGTTGTGCTAAACGCGCAATCCACTCCCAATTCTTGTATATTGTTTGTCAGACTGCGATTGTTAAATTGAAATGTATTTTCAGTTCTTAAGAAGCCTGCCAAAAAATTGAAATGACGACTGTGTGAATGATCAATCGTCAATACGCCATACATTCGATGAATAAGTCAATGTTTTCGGTTCATTGGGAGATAAATCACTTTCACAATTTCTACTTATTCAGCAGATATCATTTGTAGTTATGGCCCCCAGAACGATTCTATAGAATAGGAGACATTTCCAGTGAATAACGACAATAAAATCGTTGATAAACGTCCCCATTTACGTCAGTACGACCGGCAACGCAAGGCACACTGGGATAGCAAACAAGGGAGAGAATTCACTGCGTGGTTAATTTCTTTGATGTATGTGACTTACACAAAGATAAATGAGTATACACAACGGCCGGCGTTGTTGTTTACCTTGGTATCAAACATTCAGATTTATGAGTTTTTCTTTAAGAATAGATTTGACGCGGTTCTTCGTCGAAAGTAATTTCACCGAGCAACCGAAAATGTGAACCTGCTCCGCATCGGTTAGTTATTTAATAGAACATCAGGCACATTCCAGCTACAAAATATTGACATTTGACGGTAAATAAAAGAACCCCATTGCTAAAGGATGACAACCGGAGTATTTCACTCTAATCTATTAGCTTAAGCGACCCGGACAAACAATAGTCGCTTATGGCATGAAAAATATTGGGAGTGCTGTCAAACATATGATATATCTTCAACTAGCTGCTATAAATAGAGAGCATACGAGGGTAGTCTTTACCAAAAATCGATACTTCATATCCATGAATGAGATTCTACAGTTTAGACCGACAAAGGCGTTCAATAGTAAAATGAAACTCGCCGATATCTTCCCCGTGTTTGTAGTGCTAATTCCAAGTATACGAGTTATCAGAAAATTGCCGATGACTTCAGAGATAGTGCTAACCTTTACAACGATAGGGGATTTTGACATAAATATATTATTAATACATTCTGTTTCAGAAGAACGTAGATAGCGACCTCTTCAGGGTGACAGAATACCAAACAAGGAGTAAAAAGTAACCGATAAATACAAAGTAACACCACAATATAACGTTTTAAGGACCGATATGCGAGATAAAGACAAATCTAGAGGGATTCCGATCCAGACATTAAGTGTTAAGTTTGCGATAACGGCGGCGTTTATCATAGGACAACATGAAACACTCAATTTATTACGTCGAGTACTTGTAGCTCTGCTCAATTGATATATTATTGCATTTTTACGATAAAATATGTTTCTTATTGAGTCAAGTGTCCACTATATATTTAGTTTATCATTGTTGTCTTTATTCTATTTACAAATCACACACGTACAACGAGTTTCATTATCACATGCACGCCAAGGTGTTTTATAAAACGTATTGATAATTTATGGATTTATTATTATGAATGTATAACTTCATCAAACATATACCAACAAAATATTACAACTTTTTGTGGGTCGGTAAAATGAATTAAAAAGCAATAATCTTCTTCTGTGAATTAGGTTATTCCTTTATTTTTAAACTTTCTTGGGCTTATCAAACTAGAAACAATTTTACACGATAAATTATTATACTTATATAGAGATGGCTTATTATTGCCATTTGGTGGCAGGAACATGCCTCTTGGTTCCTGATTCTGTTCCCTTTTCTTAAGGATAACTTGCCCCAAATTCAAAAATCATAATAATATAGATAATCTAGAATACAGGACACCTAAATGTTTCGGCTGTAGTGTTGTTGATTTCAAAATGCGTGCAACATTTGTTTTGTTTTCACTACTATAATTAATTCGGAATATGTTAATAAAAGGCCGTTGTTAACGTATTTGTAACGTTTCCCAAAGGCAAAATTTCTTATTTCTCACAAACTGTACTAAAATTCAAACCAAAGTATCCAGAAAATTGGAACACTGACGTCTGAGATGGAATGTTGCTACAGTTATTTATGTTTAATTTCCTTCATCAGTTGTTCCAGTAAATGACGTGAAACAGAGCAAGCCAAGTTTGACTCATTAGGCGGTATAGTAAACTACCCGCAAAACTCCGCCCTAAATACCGGAACACAAAATGACACGACAGTCCACATACCCGGACATTTACGACTAGGGTAATTGACAATCACATACGCCGGACGTTTACGACTTGGGTAATTGAGAATCGTAAACGGAGTAGAACGGTGTTTAGGACATTTGTGTTAATTACGCTTGTAAACACGAAGTTGAGTTTATGGTTGTACACCATAACGGACCTCTTGTTAAAAGGATCCACAGCTTGAACAATCATATCACGATAAATATGCATGTTATTAAAATTAAACCAAAACGAAAAATATTTACATTTTTAATTTATTTCATGGAGAAAAGGGTTTGTTTTTTCTCAAATGCTTGGTTTCTGTAAACATTTTTTTCACAAAATATTAACGAGATTTTAAAAATAATGTGTTTGTTACATTAAGCTAACAACACTTTGGTGAAAAGGTTTAACCATGCATTGACATGATTACTACAGCAGCCTCCCCTAAACTCCGCATGGCCCGTCTAAGCTGGGTTTCATTACGGCAAATTGGTCTCTACACCTAATAGTTTGACGAAGGGCCGGTGGTCGAGAGAGCGAATGGGTATTAATTACCAAAATATTTATGTTATTCTAGTGTCAAGTCATTTCTATTTACTACAAAAATATTCAGAAACAGATTTACAGCAATCGTACAACCGTGCAGCCTCGCATTCGGTATTTCTCGGCTAATTCCGATTTTGTTTATTTTCTTAGTCAATAAACATCTTTCTATGTTTTTACTGTGAACGACACACCACACGTGAAGATACCTAAAACATTGATATTAGAATTATGTTTTAATTTTCATAAATTATTTCGAGTCCAAAACATTGACAAAATCTAGAATGATTTAAAAATACAGGATCAAGATTTGAAAAAAAAACTCATAAAATATATTTGTATGAACGGCACATTATTTTTGACTTATCCTTTACTGAATGTGTATAAATCTTTCATTCCTACACGATAATATTAGTCGTCTGTTTTATTTCAGCCAAATAACATTTCACAACAAATCAGTTTTCATGAAATGTGATTTTCCTGACTTATTTTATTTTATTGGTTTTTATGCTACAGATCAACAATTGTTCAGAGGTTGGATTATTTAAATGAAATACTAGATATATATATATATATATATATATAAATATACGTATTTCTTTTGGTTTCTTATTACATTAAATATTTGTTTATATTTTAACTGTTGAACTGGAATATAAAAATGGAGATATTCTTATCAAAATTATCATTTAATATTTATAACCACAATTGACACCGCCTTTGCTGAAAAAAACTATAATTGTTCTGTTGGTAAAAAAAATGTTTATTATTATGGTATACATAATATTGAAATGTAAATAATCATGTTGTTTACGGTCAACATATGACAATGAAAGAAAAAATTGTAAAATTTAATGAAAAGGGATAAATAATTTAAATGCATTTTTCTGTTAAATATAAGGATGAACTCATCAATAAAATATGACATGCAGGAGGAGACATCGAATTGTTACTTTCTAGCCATACTTTTAAACCAGTGAAAAAACATTCAACATTTAAAAAACAAACCTGGAACAACCACGCAACAATATCTAGCATGCGCCGTAAAGAAATATTATTCTCGTTAAAATCTCATCAAAACAAGAATGATAAAAAAACATATTTATATATGAATAAAATATCTTTCTTATGTGATTTCTAGACGCTGTATTAAAACAAATAAAGCTACGAAAGTGATGATTCCGCTTCAAAAAATGTTCTGCTCGGCTGGCGTCTCAAGGAAATTGAGAATTATGTGTATATTTTTCGCTAAGATTCCTACAGGTAGTTGCAGGCTTATGTAAGTAATAGCTGGCCCTATAACCCGCGTTATTCCCCACTTAGGCACACATGGAAGTGATTCAGTTTTCACACGGTTTAAATTGTCGGTAATGGTTCCTTGCTATGCTGAGAGATGGGAAACACTTATACGGGCTGCAACCCGTATATAAACACACTGCCGAGCGGATCAGTGAAGTTAGCCTACACCTCAGTTTTAATATAAATTGGAGAGTATTATTATAAGTTAAAATATCCAATTCAAAAGATAAATTTCTGGTAGAAAAATTGCTTCTGAAACTTTTCTTTCTCAATTTTTTATTAACATATTTAGTTCATAAATTATGAATACAATTTTTTTTAATAAAATAAATGCTTCTAATAATTAACTGTAAAAAGGTCCTACATTTTTTTCAGTTTCAGATTTATTCTAATTAGTTTTATCTCGCGGGAAATTCTGGTTAACCCAAAATTACTCATTTCAGATATTATAGATTTATACAAGTGCTATGCCCCTGAAAAATATAATCATTCACTCCCGAAATGTCTCAATAACACGAAATCAAACTCTAGTTCAATTTTTTTTCAAATATCATTATCTGATCCTGGTCGATTTAGGATTTTAGATGTATAATGTACGGAAATCACAAAGTAAGTGCTAGAATATATAAACGTGAACTCACCGGGTGCGGACCTGCGCAGTCCCTGTTGTAAACTCATGTTGTAATTCCATGCGAACTCTGGGCTCATGTAGGGGTAGGGACTGAGTCCGCTGGGTCGGGCAAGGGGCGTGTTGTAACTAGTATCTGTCCGGGCCGTCGGGGAGCTGATGGGCGAGCTCGGCGAGGGGGCGAACGCGAACCTAGGAGACACTGAAGGATGTGAGTTCGAACTACTATAAGATGCTTCAGGTGGCATGGTCCACATGGCTGGAGATCCGGACGGAGTTGAAACCGACTGTCCGCCTCCGTTGCTTACATACTGCATCGGGAGGACTGCACGAGTTGTTGGAACATACACAGGGCTGGCACCCGCTGGATGCATGAAGCTGTTGGCCCCCGGGGACTCGTGGTATGTAGGGGCCGTCGCGCCCGAGGGAAGGGACATGGAGTGCATAGCGCTGTTTTGGAACATACTGTCGGGTGAAAGTTTTGGGTTCGAGTCTGGTGTGGATGCGGTCAGATGATGCGGCTCAGAGTCACGGCCTTGACCTCTGACCTCAGTTGGAGAATGCTGGTTTGGCAAAGGTCTGTCCAAATGGTTAAAGAAAACTTCGACGTCCTCACAAGGCAAAAGTGGACTGTTTTCTTGGAAATTCAGCATACCCCGAGAAGAGGCACTTTGTGCTTCCAGCGAGCTGCGTCCGGAACCGTTAAGGGGCGCTCTGGAATGAATTCCGTTGTAAATTTTCCTGTCGTCAAAGCGTTCTTCTTTAGAACGATTCAAATAATTTTCCGAATTAAGCCAGAGGAGTTCCGAATGTGCCATTAAACTCCATTCGGTAAGCTACTCATTTAAACAATACTACACAGTAAATAAGCTCAATGATAATGATGGACGTCGACGGTAGATGGCGCTCTTAACAAAGTAATGTTGCCCCTTGGCGTTGAGTTCGTTTTGAGTTCGTTTTGCTGTTTTGCAGAATTGGGCTCGGGTAATGCAATCTGCAAATAATAAGAAAATTGAATTCATTACAAATACAAATCAAATTATTTTCACCTGTACGTGATGACCGGGCATCATCATGACGTCACTGCTGGTCAGATTAGACTCGGTATAATCTGAGTTAAACAATACACATATACACATGTACTTGAATAGCATTAAAATATCGTTTACGCCAGAATAAAACAATATTCAAAGAAATCGTCTGCTCCGGTTATTTGTCGAAATGTCATCGTATGCAGTCTATAAATATATTTAGTTTGTCAAATGAAATGTAATAAAAATTGACATAATTAAGAATGAAATTCATTTCGTTGTTTCAAAGGGAAATTCAGTTTATATGGCATATATCAGCTGTTATCACTGTTTAAACATGTATTTTAAGTATGACTATTGCTGCCATTACTGAAAAGAAATATTGTTTAAACTCAGTTGACATTAGGCTATCTTTTAAAAGTGAATTGCAGGAGTGTGCTTGGATAACCACAAGGAAGGGACAATATAGCATAAAACGTATGCTTGATATGGTGAAATAGCATACCCTGCAGTATGGTTTCCAATATCTCCGTCAATCAGTACCATGGACGTACTCCCTTCCCCAACTTCAAGCTGAGTTTTTGTTTCCAATTGAGATATACTTTCATATATTTAGTTCTAACCGTCACTGATGGTAACCAACGTAGTGCATTCAAACATTTTGTTCCGAAGGGAAAATATATACCTGACATTCGATATCTATCCTGAGTTAAGAATGAAACCGGTGGTATCACACTATACGACTTCACGGTGTAACTCAAACGTGTAACTAAATCGTGTAACTATCAAGGTAAGCTTTATAGTGTATCCCTAAAGTGTAGCTATAAAAATAAAACCTAAATATTTTCAAAATCTTGCATTCAGGCTTTTTGTCTCAAAGTTTATCTTCATGAAAATCTATCTAAGTGTCTACAAATTGCTTATGACATTATTTTCCTTGTGAAATGTTATGCCAAATACGTTCTCATTGACACAATATTAAGTCATTTGGACGATAAAGTGTTTTAAATTACCTCGAAGAATAATAAGAAGCAACATTAAAACAATATATTAAAGTGGAAAGGTGAAACAAATACAGCATGAACGAACAGGCAACGGGAACAGGAGAAACACCAAAATATAAAGGAAGACATATTGAAATATTGTTTCTTATCCATCATCACTGTCAGGAAAAGTATAATTAATGTAAGTATTTAACGTTCTGTTTTTTTATATTGATGGAAAACTGCTCTGTTTGTTTAGTAAATAAGTTTGAGTAAGGAGTGAGGTTCACTCAAGCCTTGGCTAGTTTGTATACCTCTTTGAATGAAAATACACACACGACACGGATCGGTACAACTCCGCAATACATAGACAGAAACAGCGCACATACATCTGCACGTGCGATAGAAGTAACTTACTCTGATGTGCCTTAGAGTGCAACAGTTCGTTTCAGTGAAACACGTAATGAATTAATTCAATAAAATTGTAATTACTGGAACAACCGTCTGGAAAGTCTCTTCACTAATTCTACATCCGATTATTTCGTACACTCGCATCTAATTCTACTTCTTTATACAGCCGTTGCGCACATGTCGTTTGTCAAAATTTAACTGTGTCATAGAATACGTGATGGAATTTAATCTGCTGTTTCATACTTTACTCGCCAACTATCTTCTTTTTTTCATATTTTTCAAGGACATTCTACTTTTAACTTTCCATTTTAGTAACGTTGTTCTATTAATTGGGCGTCCAGTGTCTGTGCTTCAATGAACGAATATATTATATGGCAAGATCATTGATAAAAAGGATATACAGATTTTTAGTATTTTATCGTTAAAGATTATCACAAGACCTTATACGAACCACATCACCGATACGTAAAGATTATAAAAAAAGAGAGATATATATTAGATTTTGAAAAGATGAACGTTATAAATTGTCTTGAAAAATATTTCGAGTAATCTATTTGATTTGTATAATTTGAATTTGATAAAGCTATCTGAATAGACAAGTTATATTGGAGATAAAAATACGTATGTTACTTTATGATCTGAACAATGGATGTCAATAGCGTCGACGTCTTATTGTGTTTCTATCTGTTCATAAGCGATCCACTGACAATTGGAAAACAATTAAAGACGGCGACAACAATTACTAAATTAAAAAAAATACAAAGAAGAAATAGATGCTAACATAAATCCTCAAAAACAATAGAAACGTATACCTTTTTCGCTAATTGTGACCTGGATGAACACTTTGATCCTAATGGAGGTTTTATCGAGTTGAACCTGTATGAGATACGTGGTATCTTGTGACTAACGATATCAGTCTCTGACCAGCTGTATCAACATATGACGATATGGACCGCGATTAAAGTACAATATTCCTTCTAACACTAAATATATAAATACACAGAATTATTATCGGGAATGTGTAGATAGGGTATTGTCAATTTTAGTCGTTTGTGTACAGCTGTATAGCGTGTTATCGGGAAGCTACGTGTTACATAGAGTCGATAACAGCACTAAACTGATGTCAGGATGATACAGTTAAAATAAGAGTCTCATTTTAAATCATGAATATACTGAAATAATTTATCTCCAAAGTAAAAGTTTCAATATAGTATTGGAAATACCACCCTCAGTCTCATAGGGGAATCGCACATCTGCTAAGTGAGATTTTCACCTGGGAACGTGCATGTGAATGGTTATTTATGATGCCAAAGTGTCCTTTTTGTTTTAGAAATACTTATATATTGTTTATTTTAAATTTTGAAGTGTCAAGTTGGTTTGGAAAATTTCTGTATCGTTTAATTACAATAAAATGTGTCAATTTAGCATTGTGAATACTGATAAAATTTAAATATGAACGTTGTACAATGGGAAGGTACTACGCAGAGCCTACAGCTTGATCAAGTTTCACGAGCCGGAACACATTATGACCCATCTGGATCATCGATAAATAAATAGCATTTAAATGCTGTGTTATACAAAAGAGTGACCAGCACAACTAATTATGACTTTTGATGAACTCATAACTAACATATATGCATGTCGTTTGCAAATTGTTTGAAGCTTTAAGCTACATGTAGTATACTTCCCGTTTATGTGTAGATCTCTATAATATGTTCGATATTTCAGTGTACAGCTCAGGTTATATTTGAATAAGATTTCGGAGGAAAGATCAATATGTCATGTTATATGTTATAAACTATTAGAAATAAACTGAAAGGAACCTAAAATTCCTATGTGATGCGATTATTAATTATAAATATAAGGAGAACGGAATATCAGGATTTCCAAAGATCTGATGTATTCTAACTCATCGTTATATCATATTTTTATACATTTCCTAAAAAAAAAACCAGAAATTTATCCAGCATCATAAAGGTCAATCTGACATATGTACTATCTTCCTAAAGTTGATCAAATTATTCATACCGAAAAATAATAATCCCTAACAATCATCTATTTACATTATATATATAAACACATATGCAAATAAAAACGTTTGATAATATGATACAACAATTAACAATATAGATGTACAAGTACCTATCCAGGTCATAATATATTAACTATAGATACCTATATATCTATATATGATGTACTCACCTGTATTAAGTGTCACGTCCGTCTAAACCTGTATATATATTTCTCTCTCTCTCGCAATTTTACACGATGTTTGACGATGGGTAAGTTTGTTATAAATGAGACAGACGATTTACAAAACTACTGTAGTCTACATGATCACCGTTTGAGGTCGCCGCCGTAATTTCTAAGAAAACATCAGCATTAGCACAAACTACTTATAGCAAACGGTTTGAGACCGTAATGCGATTTTTGGCTTCTAAGTCTTAACACTCCAGGTGTGTGGTTTGTTGTAAAAACAAAAACTCAGGTAGGTCAAGAAGCCAGGTAATTACACAGGTAAATCGACCTACCTGGTGGCCCAATCGGAATTAGTCACTTACTAAGGAGGGGTCAAGCTTTGGAGGGAAGGGCCAAGTGTTGATGGGGTGATCACTTAAAATGTGTAGTTCTACTTCTTTATTAAGCCTAGAATATTGAGCTCATCAGCAATTTAATTCTATTTATAATTTACAATGAAATATAATATGTAATGTAGTGAGACAGTATGCAAAGACATGAAAGAATCAATTAATAAGAAAATTGGGTAGCAACATATTAACTACCCTTCAATAAAGTTTAAGAGTTATGCATGTTTTCTTCAGAAATAAATAGAATATTTAATGGATTCATTTCGCAGTTATTGCTAATTTTATGATTTCATGCGTTCATTAGATTCATGTTTATATGTAAAACCGAAATGTGGATATCAATTTTGATGACGCGTTTTCACTCCCTGCATGGTCTTTCGTACACGTGGATTCGTAAAATAAATTATAAGCCATTAAAGAGTATATGGAATCGGTGATGATGATAAAGGTGTAATTCTATCAAATATCGTGTAATAAACATCGCCAGGTAAATTGTAACTAACAGGTGTGTGTCAGTAGTATGAGATCCGTGTAATAAAAATGTCACTTGCATAAATGCAGATGTGAATGAAAACGAAATGTAAAAACAGATAGATGTGATAAACTATTTCTACAACCATTTGAAAGGTTTACTTCAATCACATGCACAAATAAAACACTTGACCCCATAATATAACCCCGTAAAGTTGTAACACACCCATAAATAAAATCTCAGGTACACACAGGTAAAAACAAAGGATGACGGAATACGTCCAACCACGCGGCAAACCCGTAAAGTCGGGAAACAAATAATATACAGAGACGCAGGAACCGAATTAGGAGGTATACTGGCTTAGAATTTAAGAGGATGCCGACAGTAGGACAAACTTATCCGATTTTGGTGAAAATATCGGAATAAGCAAACTACGTGCTATGAAAGTACACAGGTGTGGGATAATACTATATACCCGCTTACCTGTTCTAGCCACTCAAGGTACATTCTAATATCCAAAAACGACTTATCCAGGGGGAAATCCGGAAACATCGGTACACTTCAAATAGTGTATATTAACCCAGGATTTGTATATTCCGGGGTACAAAGCACATTCCAGTATAATCATGTTAGGATTTGATATTTGAATAATATGACACGGAGGAGTAAAATATTATTAACAATATGAATAATTTTTAAATCGGTGGAATTGAATTACGATTTCAATATAAATAATTATTAGAATAATATTTGGAATGTCATAGTCGGGCCTACAGAATGAAAATGAAGTAATTTTCTCGAAGGAGTTAAGCTTATAGCGATACTAAAGCAGAACGATTAGATACGTAAATGCTGAAGAGTTGTGCTATCACTTCCTAACTTGAGTGCTATCTCTCGGACACAAGTCTTCATTACCAATTACAATCTCCAGATAAAACCAACCTACCCTCAAGTCTCCAATCCGTCTCCCTCTCGGTCCCGCTATCCGAGTTGTATATTATAGTCAACTTTTTTATCACTTATCAGGAAAACCTGGGTCAGTTCCACCAAGGCAAATTTCTCCACTATCCTCCGAGTGTACGTACACACTGATACGGCCCGGTCGCGTTTTCTCATTTAGACAAGGCTCTAGAGTGGCTAAACCCCCCTCTCTTGAGGCAGCTAGCCTCTGATAACGCAAGTGGGCGGAGCTTGCGTCGCAAGACGTGTTTGTTTCAAATACGGGATTCAATTTTACAAGCAAACTTGTAGTATAGAGTTTATAAACTTATATTTACCAATAAAAACACTCAAATAGCATTACGTCCTTTCTCTACGAGCACTGATAAAAGTTAAACCCGAAATTAAACTTTTTTAATGATATATTTTTAATGTGTCCTTATCGAAATCTCTGCAATAGCAAAGCTCCTGAATTAAAACACTTCGTCTAAGTTTCTACACTTAGAGTAAATTATCCAAGTATTAGCCAGCGTCGAGATCGGGATCTCTGTTAAAACAGGCCCTCGCTTTACGGTGTATCTGTTTATATGCCAAACAAAATGTCATTACTTCTACGGTAGAAACACAGAAAAAAACGCTGAATCCAAGCGAAATTCTAATTAACCTCTTCCACGAGTGCACGAGCGCACGAGAGCATACGCATGTTCATTTCTTTGAAATAGAACGTCTTATCTAGTTAGTAAGATAAAGTAGAGCGTGGAGGAATTTCGATTTCTACTGATTTCTAGAAAAGAATCAACAAAAAGACAAAGGAAATGTTTGCATACGCTTTGAAAGTCATGCGAAATCAATCGACAGGTTCTTTGTAATATTATCACAATAAAGCCGCTAATCTTTAGATGATACAAATTGATTTATAAGGTGAAACCCAAAAAGATAAACTTTTTCATATTGTTTTTAATAAAAAAAAAAAATATATGTTCAAGACTAAGACAAAGATAGTTGATAAATGTGTATTATTCTTACCTGCTATTAAAGATTTATCATTGTTTTTAGGGTCTCTATATCATTGCATCCTTTCTGTCGGTTAATCTTTCCTTTCGCGTGTTAATACATACCTGGATCAACCTCAATACAGAGTAACAGTTGTACTAAATCCATCTTTCTGACTTTTTGTAATAATCAACAGTACCGTTTATTGACTTACATGTTTTTGTAAAAAACGAACATACTCGCCGAACTGAAGTAATAGCCACACCTGTACCTAGATCTAGCGGGATCACAAATATCTGTCTGAATTAATAAAACTATAAAAGATCCACGTCCTTTATGGTAATATAAGCGTCACGAAGGCTTTTGGAATTGTTGGGATATTACATCTTAGGTCACATGACGACGGTGTCCACTGATGATTGGGGCCAAACAGCACTCTAAGGTCATATGACGACCGTGTCCACTGATGATCGGGCCAAACAGCATTCTAAGGTCATATGACGACGGTGTCCACTGATGATGGGGCCAAACAGCACTCTATGGTCATACGACGACGGTGTCCACTGCTGATGGAGCCAAACAGCACTCTAAGGTCATAGGACGACGGTGTCCACTGATGATGGGCAAACAACATATCGCTTATTAAGGTCATATGACGGCGCCCACGGATAATGTCACCACATAACACTCTAATGTCATATGACGACGTGCACATAAACAACAGAAAAGGTCACATGACAACGATTTGTGGCCACTCAAGGATCACTTCAAAATACATCTCAATGAAACGTCGTAACCTGGACACGGTAGCATGACACATTAATCTGAAGTCTGTAAGTCCGGTGTAGGGTCTACGGTACACTTAGGTGAGGTAACTTTACAAGAGCTCTCCATCTTCCGAAAATTTATTTATCTTGTACTTTATAATAATTAAAAAAATTATTCTGTCCATTTATAGGTACTATATATATATGCGATGTACATGATTATGCTTCATTCATGATGTTATAATTATTTGGTATTTCATATCACTGATGTTTCAAGTATACGTGGCCGAGTGGGTATGTTTATGAGCCGTAAGGCTTCAAGTTGAATAAACAATACAACAATACAACTTGTGTAAATTTATCTGTGTAATCGATTTGCCATTACGACACGAAGAGGTAATACATGGTGTCAGGCTGTAGAAAAGTAGCTAATGGTAAATGAAACAAGAACAATGCTAAAAACATATAAAATGAATACCTTGATAAAATAAAGGGTAGAATGAAAACAAATCCAAAGTGTTACAATGGGAACATCTGATTGAATCTTTTAAGAAAAATAAAACTGTAGGAAGAAGAAGAAGAAAATGAAATAGCACTGCAGGTGCCCAACCCAAGTCACCCATTACTATCATGTAGTGGGGTACACATGTACAGAAGACCAATTCTTATCACCAACCTGTAGGGCAAACCTTGAACTTACAGTCCTGACCTTGAAAGGCTGTCATTAAACCTAAAGGGCTGATATAGAACCAGTTAGGTAAGTTTTAATCTACGGGATTAGCATTGAACTGTGATTTTGACCATGCTTAGAGAGAGATGGATAAACGAAGAAAAAAAATGAAGAAATGAAGAAAAAAAAATCCTGAAACAGAAAAGAAATAGCTAACTATAACCACTAGAAATTATATCAATGATAAACAAAAAAAACTCTGTGTTCTTGTACTGTGATTTCAGGTTAAAATGTTTGGAAAGAAATTTGACAAGATCCCTATTTTACTTGCTATAGATAAATTACAAATATGATACATTAATAAGCCAACAGTTTTTTCCCATTGTCAATATTTGTTAAAAGTTTCTCTCCAACTCGCCAATTAAGTCTTTATGGGTATAACATCTACAAATATGTCAATATTTATGTATTATCTCCCTTGTTTTATTTAATATTATTTGATAAATCAAAACCATTTGAATTTTATCAAGATATAATTTGCTCTGTATCTTTCACCTATGTCAATAGTGTGAATTAATCAATGAAGTAGCGATACATATTTATTATATATCATAAGCTTTACTTTTTAATCTTCAGATAGAACTCTTTTTGAATAGAGATAAAGATCAGTAACAGTAAGAAACAACCTTAAAAACTCGGAAGTGTTTGTATATCATTCCTTATTAAATTTTATCAAAATAATATTGGAAAATTAAATCCTACACAATACGTTCGCTTTATAAACAACACACATTTATTATATATTTACTTCAATCAGCTACTTTTATAAACATTAAAATATCATTATATTATGACTACTCGCTGATAAATAACTGTATGTGTAGTCACCCATTACAGTTCACGTTGGTCATCTCCCGTATATGATGAGACTGGTCTAATATACGACCGCGCACCTGTTCTCCAAGTATATCTCTAAATCCTCAGGAGTAGACTAGCCCTCATAAAATTCCCAACCTGTACCCGCCAGTCCCCAAAGGAAAAGTCTCGTTAGCTTAATAAAAATAAAATATGAAATTAATATTCATATATTTCATTTCAATACAAAAAGACAAGTAATTTGTCTGCTGAGCGACATATACTTTGGTTAGGAATTGAACTAAAATTAATAAATATAGATTTATTATGCCATTCTGTTTGATATTTCAATGAGTTAAAGTTCAATATCCAAATAACAAAGCTTCAATGATAAGGCCCATCCTAACCCCCGATTTTTCCCATCAGGACCTCACAAGTGCAAGGGTCAGGGACCACCAGCTCCACTCGAGAACTGTCAGGTGAGCTATCTGATTTTGTGGAGGTCAGTCCTGGTATCTATCTAAAACGATCTAATATTTATACTTGAAAACACTGAAAAGCATTATAATAAAATATAACACAACACAGAGGTGTAACTGTTAAGCGATTTGTGTCTACATTTTAATATTCAGTTATATTTCATTTTATATATAATCAATCTTTACACAATACCATATCAGTATCAGTCATTGTCAGTGTGTTCAGATAACATATAGTATCATACGATATCATTTTTTTAATGTATATTTTTAATTATAACTGAAGGTTTTCCTTTAAACTGATATCGTCTATTGCTATTAATAATTTTTGCTGTCTGACATTATGTTTTAATTTTATATTATATTCAACAGGAGAATACGTCATAAGCTGAAAAAAACTTGGGTAAACTACTTTTCTGATTATGTGCAAATAAAAAATATTTGAATAAGAATGATATTGCGGTGAGTTTGAGAACCTAGGGCTCCTGTACCCAGTCTATCACTGTCGCTTGAACTGTGTCCATAATTTTAAGATGCAAATTTAAAACATACGGTGAATTCTCCATATTCCGAACATTTTCAAGGTGTTATCAACGAGAAAAGAAAGTTGTACTTTCCCCCGTTCTGACCAATGCTATCGAATAGAATAATTAACATTGTTTATGAGGGAAACAACAAAGATATATTATTAATGAGCATACACAATAATTTCTAAACTACCCACCCAGAGATTGTCTGACCTGCATGATAGATAGATACACGTGTATCTAGACAACACGTTTAGAATTTATACTAACAAGTACGTAGTGATATAATAATTATTATTTTATATGATAAATGATATGACATCTTAACCCGATTTTTGAAAATAAAAAAAATAAAAAATAATAATGTCAAGATATTAATTTATTGAAAAAGAACAAATGACTTGCTCCTTTACAAAAGCCGACGTGAAACATTGTTAACAAAAGCAATTGAAAAAAATATGCACAGAGAACTAGATTTTTTTCATTGTTCTCTTTAACAGAACAACAACGCCAATTACAAAACATATTTGCGTGAAATGAGCTGTATTGCTAAAACGTTTATAAATGATGACATTGCTAGGGTTATAAATATCAGAGTCTGCCAATATGTTAAATGGACACATTATATTGTACGCATATAT